GCAAGAACTAGTAACCTTTTCCTTCAGTAAGAAAAGCAGTATCAGCACATCAGCACTTTTTCTTGATAAATAAACTCAGTGTTGTTTGAGGGGAGCAGTGACAGCTGATCGGGATGCCCGGAGGGGAACAATAAGCTATTCAGCTCCAGCTTATCGAGGCAGTGGTGCTGGGCTGGAGAAGGGCAACCTTGCTCATCTTTCCAAAACACACCACACAGTACTCTGCCACAAAATAAAATCAAGAATGCAGGAATTTCCTGAGGCTTACTGGGCTTTCTAGAGTATAAAGTGTCTGCTTGTTTTCCCATTGCTTACACAAGCAAAAGATTTTTTTTTTTTTCCCCAGACTTACTCCGAGAACATACCACAGCAGAGTCAGAGGCTGTGCGTCTCTAACCCGCGGGTCACCGTATTACACAGGACCTTTTTATGTCTGCAGTCACAACCACCGCTTTAATTTTGAATTCACTGCTTTCGCATCTTTTAATTTACACAGGTTATTAGGTTAACAGCCACTTTAAACACCAAAAAGCCTTCCACCTCCTTTCCTTCTCTAAAACTTGTAGACCTTAGCGATCCCACCCACTGTGATCGTTCAAGACAAGGAACAGAATCCTAAACACCGTGATCCTGCTGCCAGTGCTTCAAGAGCCTGAAGGTGAATAAGCACGTTTAATTCAAGGTCAAGATGCCCGTAGTAGAATTAGGATTAAACACCAGGTATTCTTACTCTCACACTAAGCCTCGCCCCGTACTGCAGAATCCTTTCTATTGTATTTGTAGCTCACGTGGCTGACAACTACATAATTAAAACGTCCCTAGTAGCAATAAAAAAGTTCTCCAACTGTTTAAAACAAGCCATTTATTCACTTCCATGACCAGACTATAAAGTCACCTAGGTCACAGAGGGACAGAGTATTGTATAATGCTAGACAGTTGCACAATTTCACTTTTATCCTTTTTGCAACTACCTTTTCAACCTTCCCTGTAGCACTTAGCAGGCATGTACAGTTATTAATGAATTCAAAGGCTAAGGAAGGATCTTCTACCTTCCGTATTTTAGTCACATTTGTCATTCTCAACATTTATAATCTATTTGACTTTTTTTTTTCTTTTTAAATGTTGAAGCATATAAAGTATTGATAGGCACAAATGATACTGCATTATCATGAAGGTAATTGTCCCTGAATAAAATGCTGACATTTAAGTGATGGTGCCTCTAATACTTCCATGGAAAGGTCATCACCCGTAGTTTCCATCACAGGCAAGCTGAGACACACTACATTGTAAGCTGCCACCATAACTGGTCATGTCTTTAAAAAATATGGATGATCTTCATGAATTGATTGTTCCTGCTTGAAAAAGCCCGCTAGTTTGAACTAGGCGAGTCTCTAGGTGGCTAGTTACATGACAAATCCAAGGTCCTAAAACGCTCTTACCCTACAGTCTTGGGAAGGATCCAGTAAACAAAATTAATAGTAGGTTATCCTTAATTTAGTGGTTTTTTTTCCACTTGAGCAGATTATAAGAATTGTGGTGCAATTATGGACCTCTACTGCGCAGTGGGGGCTTCTCAAACTACACCAAACAGGAGATGGTTTCTACAAAGCTCCTGGCAGGAATTTGCGCTATCATAAAACAACTACACCCAGAGCAAGCAGGTATAGACACTCTGACTGGAACTATACCTTGGTCTTCTACAGCATGCAACGCTCAGCTTCTGAAAAAGAATTACCAAAAT